GCGCGCGCGCACACACACACACAAACTCTGCCCCTGTGCCTGCGGATGTGCGCGCGCACACACACACACAAACACAAACTCTGCCCCTGTGCCTGCGGATGTGCGCGCGCGCACACAAACACAAACTCTGCCCCTGTGCCTGCAGACAAGTATACACACACACACTCTGCCCCTGTGCCTGCAGACGAGCGCACGCGCGCACACACACACTCTGCCCCTGTGCCTGCAGAGATGTGCATCCTCACACTCTGCCCCTGTGCCTGCGGACATGCGTATGCACACACACACTGCCCCTGTGCCTGCGGAAGTGTGCATGCGTGCACGCACACATGCACTCTGCCCCGTGCCTGCAGACATGCGCATGCGCACACACGCACACACTTTTCCCTTTTGCCTGCAGGCATGCGCACACACGCATGCACACACTATGCCCAGGTGGTGCTGGAGCAGGGTAGGAGCAGGAAGGCAGGGAACTGGCTGGGGGTGGGCAAGGCTGGGCTGCTCAAGCCTGCTGAGGGCTCCATCTGGGTCCTACTGCTCCTGTTTCCACCCAGCTTTGACAGGGAGCAGGGAAAAATAAATATTAATTTACTAAATTTTATAGGGGCTCCATGGGCCGGATAGAACGGCCTGCGGGCCGTATTTTGCCTGCCCCTGCTCTAATCACACCAGTTGAACGAATGGACAACATAAGACAAATTGAGACAATTTAGGATGGTCTAGGCTGAGGATCCCATTGTGCTGTAAAAGAGTGGGAATGGAGTGCCTGTGTATCAGTACCCCATTTATTCAAAAATTGTTCTCTACAAGAAGGTGGGTAACTGCTTTGTTTCACTGAGTAGAGTTCAGAATTGAATGCCAAATTGAGAATTTTTTATTAGGTTATCCCTGTCATTAGGTTAGTAGGTGGGCTTGGAGGAAAAGACTCTTAATTCACTTCTGTAGGGAACAATTTCTGGATAAACTATAGGGATTGACGCACAGGCACCCCACTGCATTTTTATGTCACAATGTACCTCTGGAAATTAACAGAAGGAGAGCACGAACTATGGGTGGTGTTGGTGTTTCACAGTTGAAACAGTGCAGACAAAACAAGCTTGGCAATAAAGCTCTAAGCAGATGTGCACAATTAACCAGTAGGAATGCACAGGAGCAAGAATGTGATGGTATTAAGGGCAGGGAAATCAGGACTCACTTTCAGCCCTAATATTTTAGTGTTCATAAAAAATTGTGTAAATAATTAAACATTATGACTTTTTAAAGAATTACTAATGTGCTTTTTTGGAAGGAAAAGGTAATTTCAGGAAGATTTTTATCCAGCAGCAGTCTAACTCGATCTCCTGTTCTATCTAACTAACAGGTTGGATGTCGGTGTGGTTTTTGAGGAGAAAAGCATGCTGGGGCCTTGGTCCATATTAATTTTACAGTGCTCCTGTACCTTTTAACCCCTGCATCGTCTACACATTAACACCTGAAACTAGTTTTAAGCACACTTTAGGGATTTAAAGTTGCCCCATTCCAGTGCTGGTTTATCTCCGATCTGTCCCATTAATGTGTGGCCACGCCCCACAGATGTGCTGTCCAAGCTGCAGTCCTCCAGCATCCTGGGATAGTGTTCCCCACCCTCCTGTGTGGACAGACTTTCCACCCCTTGAACTCTACTGCCCAGGGAGAGCTTCTGGCACCAAGCCAACGCCCTTCCACTCCTGCCCTCATTCCCCTCTGCCCCCATCCCCTGCCCCACACACGAGGGGCAGGGCATAGCCAGTCAGGAGTGAGGGGCGCTGGGTTGGGACTGGCCATCAATGTTTACAAATGGGTCCTGGTACAAAAATAGTTGAGAACCACTGTTCTAGTGGCAAGTCACAGTTGTGCAGGTCAGGCACAGTCAGAGAAGGTTTTTGTCCTTATGGTACGACTGCTTCAAACTCAAGCTGACACTAACATCTGAGCAGCTCAAACATGTAATAAGGCCCCTGGTAATTACACAAGCAAGTAACTAAAGTAGAAGCAAAAAACTCAGCAGCCTAAATAGTGAGCTGCAAAGTTACATTTCTAGTGTCCTGAAGGTCCAGTTGGAGTTTGGTTATGGTGGGAGCTGTTCTGATCTCAAATGAAATCAGGTGAAATTCTCTGATGGAAATATCTCAAGCTAACCAAACAGGTAATATAAAGTTGAGGATTTCAGAATGAATCTATTCCTGTTTTGCAGGTGTTTAGCACTAGGGTGTGGATGTCCCAGCAACTACATCCAAATGGGTGAACGCAGCTGCTGCTGGATTAGCTATTTCCATTCACCTGTGATCATTTAAATTATATAAATATATTTTAACGATGAGTTCAAATTTATGCTTCAGCATTCTTCTACTGCCACCAAGAATCCTCCTCTTTGTACAGACAAAACCCTGGAAAATTTGATTGACTGCCAGTTGGTCAACTTGGTTAGCAAAGTTCTTTTCAGAATCTGTTAAGAGGCTTTCACATGATTTATTAATTCACCTTAACAGGTTAACCAGTTTTTCAACACATCCACTTAACATTGGTTAAATTTCCTTACATCCAGGAGTTAAGTGAACTCCTGGATGTAAGGACACCCTCTTTGTTCCACCTTTGCAGTGCCAATTACAACGAAGTGCTGGTCCAAGGCTCTGGTCCCTCTATGCACTACTGCACTACACCTAGTAAGACTAGTATAATTGTGTTACAGTGTGCCTGTGGAGGCTATTAATAAGAAGAATCTAGATGTTTTTTAATCTATTGTTTTTAACATCATGCAACGAACAAAAAAAATCATGCGCTATTTTACTCATGTTTATAACTGAAAAACAAAGTCTAGCTTAGTCAATACCAGTTTGTATGCACTAAGGAACAAACCTTGCTCTGGCCCATGTACACTGATTTTGTGCAGGAATATTTTATAGGCATCTTTGCATAAGAGGAAGGAAGACTGAGGGAATTGACTTGTTCTGCTGCTATAGATAGGGGCTGGTCAAGTTTTGTTGCTAACTGGTGAGGTTTATTGATTTGCCATGCCCTTTGATAAACTCCCTGAGTCTTGGGTCCAAATTTCCTCTGCAATGCTGTGATTGTGGCTCTTCACAGCCGCTCTCTTAGCACACCAGAAGCAGGGCCCTTTCCACTTGCCATTTGCAGGACAATACACAGTCCTGTGTTCAGGGACTGGAGAGAGCTGATTTGCCTCTTTAGGGCGTATGACTGAGTTAAAGTTATATGGTACTAACCTTGGGGAAAAGGAACGTTGCACTGACTACACATTCCTTGCATTCACATTTACTCCAGCCGTCTGAATTCTGAAGAAGATAGCTTCCTCAACCACCACAGAACTGCACTAGAATTCCTGAGCCCTGCAAAAATTGTTCTGCTACCTCCTTTCTGTCCCATATTTGTTCCAAAGTAGTGCATACAACTTTAAATCTTGTTTTCTGCAGTCCTGAATTGCAAAATATGTTCCTTCCGGTATCTCCTATTTGAATAGCCCATGCTGTTGCTTTCTATTTCTCAATGAAGAGGAAAACACAAGCCTGGTAAAAGAAGAGCTAAGTGCAGGTATATCAACAGAGCAGCTGGAAATTGACAAGAAATTTGGAAGTTCAGGAAAGTCTTTTGCAACATCTTGAAGAGGCAAATTTGTATGGCTACATAATCCTATTGCATACAAGGTACCCTCTAGCTTTTGCTTGTACAGTAAAATCTCTGTTATTCAACATCCCTGGGACAAGGGGATTGCCGGTTATGTAGAAGTTCCGGTTATCTGAAATAACCTGGCAGGGGTTTTCAGATAACGTGGAGCAGGGTGGGGTGAGGTGGGGTGGTGGGGGCTGCAAGCAGAGTGGTGGCAGCACAAGGTGGTGGGCAAGCTTTCTCTGTGTGCATCCGGATGGCTGGAAATTCCAGTTAAAAGAAGTTCTGGTTACTTAAATGCTGGATAACAAAGATTTTACTGTGTAAGTATTTTAGTATGAGGGAGACTTCTCTTTATTATTTTTTTTAAACTAAATCCACAATTAAATTCTATTGAGAGAATAGTGGGTGCATCTACACGTGCCTCTCTTAGCCAGGCTCAGTCTAAAATTGCCATTTTTAAGGTGCATTAAGGGTGTGTGTCTACATGTGCATGCCCTTGATGGACCTTAAAAATGGCAATGTAAAGCTATGTGAGCCTAAATTTGATACCTGCATAAAGCAGGTATCAGATTTAGGTGGGAATAGCTAAGTCGCATTAGCACGTGTAGATGTGCAATTGCGCATTAATGCAGTGTGCATCAATAGATAGACAGCACATTAATGCGTATTAGTGCAGGTGCACTAGCACTAATGCAAGTTAGCTATCCACGCCTAAATTTAATGTGCCTTAATGTGCGTGTGTAGTCACATGCCTAAATTGCTTTAAGCAAAGGCACATTAAGTTTCTGGTACTTTGTTTCATGTTTTTAAGAGGAATAAAAACAATGTCTTTTTTCTTTTTCTTTAACTGAAAAATCTCTCCTTGTAAACCCACCTTCATCCTCTCTGTAATTGCCCTTTAGGTATATGAAAACCTGAAGGACAATTACAGAGAGAATGAAGATAGCCCTTTTCTCTGTAGCCATAGAGGACAGAACTAGGAGCAATGGCCTCAAGCTACAGCAAGGGAAACTGAGACTGGAGATTAAGAAGAACTTTCTGACTACAGGAGTGGTCAGGCGTTGGAAAAAGCTGCCTAGTTGCCTTGATGTTGCTCCTCCCAAACCGACCTTTGTTTTGCAGGTCTGTGGTTTATTAGCCACTCCTGGGAACGCAGCTCCTATTTCACAGCCTTGCAAATTGCTTTTTAACTCATTCTAGGGATGTTATATTTGTTCTGGCTTTGATCTTAAACCCAATAACACTGCTCTGGGCCCTGATTATATTAGTAATGCTTCTGGTTTCTCTAACTGGAGAAAAACACTGCTTTTACTCAAATACAAGATGATGGTCTTGTATTTGAGTAAATGCGGTGTTTTTCTCCAGTTAGAGAAACCAGAAGCATTCTTCCCCCTAACCATCACGGTGGTGGGACCCCCCCTTGTTTTACGTTCACACGCGATGAAACCTTAGTGTCCATCCTTCAACTGCAAATACGCCTAGTTTGTGCTACCTATAAACAGGTATAAAAGTGCTGCTTAAAAGCCGATTTCTGGAGGCCCCCGCCCTGCGCTAAACCTTGCGGGGGTTTTGGAAACAGTTCGAGGGCATCCATTCTGGATCAGCTAAGCTGCGGTGTAATTTGCCTAGATGCAAATTACTATTGGTACATTGACGTCAGAGCTGGTGTTTTCAGACTCCACCCACCTCCGTGCGCTTGGGCCGAGCCCGCTCTGACAGGACGGGGGTGCAGGGGGCAATGCGCCCACCTCACCCCCCCCCTTTTTTCCTCTCGGCGGTGGGAATGGGGGGGGCACTTTCCAGTCGAAGCTCCTCTAATTCGCTTCTGCAGTAAAATGATAACTGGCCTCTACATTTTCCAGATCCGGGAGTGGGGTTCGTCTTAGATCCGAGTGACGGGAGCGGGGGGCAACGGGGCTGACGCCCCTCAAGGGCCTGCCACAGCCCTGTTGCCAAGGAGACGCCGGGTGCCTCGCAGGCCCGGCCCCCAACCCAACCGGCGCGGCCAATAGGCGCGACCGAGGGGGCGGTGCCGACGCGGCGCGGTGACGTTGAGCGCGGGCCCACGCACGCACGCACGCGGCGTCTGTTCCCAAGATGGCGGCGGCCGCTAGCGCCGAGGCGGGGGGCAGCGAGGGGCTCGCGGGTCGGCGCGGCCACCTGGGCATCCCCGAGGCCGTCTTCGTGGTGAGCGTCGCTGCCGCGGCCGGGACTGCGCTGAGCGGGCGGCGCGGCGCGGCGGGGCGGG